TCGCGCCAAACCTGGCGCAGAGATGCAGCATGAAGGGACAACATAAAATTCTGAAATGGTTAGATTGGACGTTCCCTCTCCTCTTTTTCCCCACCTGCCAGGTGAGGGCTGTTAAACTGTTAGGTTTTATCCGTGCTCTTGTCCTTTTTTCGTCTCCTCCGCCTCATCCTCGCCAGCAAGTTAGAGCAAGTGCCAAGTCGCAGTGGGCACTACCGGACCTCAGCAGCAAGTGCCAGATCGCAGCAAGCACCTCAACCGCCAGCTTTTGATGCTTTCTTGGTGGTCCAGCGCCCAGGACAAACTGTTGGTGGTGCCACCAACCCGCATCTTCTGCATCACCAACTGCATCTCCAATCCTCCAGCAGAAAGAAATAGCACCAGCACGAACTCACACTTTTGGGCCTCTGGACTGCATCTGTCGCTCAAAATTTGTCGCATAACCAAAAGGAGTCAAAGCAACATTTCAGCCGTGGCCTCATAGGGTACTTTGAGCGGCTTCTAGAGGCCGAGTTTGGGCTGTGGGCACTGCCGGACCTCAACTGCAAGCGCCAGATCGCAGCGGGTAGCGGACCTCAACACCAAGTGCCAAATCGCGGTGGGCACTACCGTACCTCAGCAAGTGGCAGATCGCAGTGGGCACCAACGGACCCCAAGCGCAAATCACAATTACAAGCACAACAATAACAAACACACACAATCACAAACACACAATCTCAAACACACAACCACGAACACACAATAACAAACACAACCAAAAACACACAAGCACAGCGACAACCACAACCACAAACAAACACATACACCAACACCGAACAACAACACCAACACCAACACCAACACGAACACGAACACGAACACGAACAACAACAACAACAACAACAACAACAACACCAACACCAACACCAACACCAACACGAACACCAACACCAACACCAACACCAACAACAACAACAACAACAACAACAACAACAACAACCACAACCACAACCACAACCACAACCACAACAACAACAACACCACCAACACCAACACCAACACCAACAGCACCAGCACCAGCACCAGCACCAACACCAGCACAACTACAAACACACAGCACAACAACCACTGACAAACACACAACCACAAACACAATCACAAACACACGACCACAGTATGTACCTCAAATTGGGGTGTTCAAATCTAAAAAACAGTTCCTTATGCAAACTGGGGGTGCAAACTGGTGCAGTGCGAACTGATGTGGCGCAAGTCTTCTTCAAAATGGCCGTTAACTGGGCCCTGGCAAACCCAAGTGACCTAAAGCATTCAAACTCCAGGATATGGAAAGATCACTTGGAAGAACCAGTACCATCCTTCCGATTTAGGGTAGTGAGGCAGCGGGTCTGGAGAACACATTGTAAACATCCTTCCGGTACCCGGTAGCAAGACTCATCTGACAATCCTCCCTCCAACAAACATGAAAGTGGACAACCCCCTGTTTGTAGAGGAAAGTGGCCTTTAATGGTGAGTGACATGCCATCCACTTCCATGATTGGAGGGAAAGTAGTCCTCCAAACCCATGGACCCGATTTCGTAGAACACGAATCGCTTGCACTGCCAACACTTCGAGCACGGCTTTCGGATGCTTTCGTCTGCGCCCCGCATCCCAAAACACATCATCCACCGGTGACCTCCGGCTTGGCGGTCACATCAGCCTGGCGGTGTCGGTCTGAGAACCTCTTGGACCGGTCGTCTCGTCTCGCCGATGGCCAGTGCCATGTGTTTTCGCAACCCAAACACTCCATGTGTTAGTTGAATATGGAATACTATGAAATATACTAATATGCTAGTTGCCAGTTGGGTTGTATATGGAATACTATGGGAATATATGCCAATCAGGCCAGGGGTGGTTTTGGGGGTCAATGGGGCGGCATATATGGCAGTCCCATGGAGCGTCTGGGAAATAGGTTTCAGGTGCGTGATGCTTGGTCTTGCCCTCCAATTGGGTCCAACATGAACTTGACTGAAGCGGGCCTTGCCACCTTTGCTCGCGTCGTCCGCCGCCTTGCCCGCCGCACGCCGGGCCAACTTTGGGCCGGGTCCATGCGGCACTGCCTGCGCCCCGTCATCAACGTAAAAAGTGCCGAATTCGCTGCACAGAACAGCTTGAATAACCACTATAGGCTTTGGTGTCAAGAAATATAAGGTTATGACAAATTCCGCTGTGGATAGTGAATCCGTCTCAAACCCGACATTGGTGCAAAAAAAAACCTAAACATTCCGCGTGCCCGAACGATGCGGAACCTCTTGTGTTGCACCTGCGGAGTAGGGGAGGTTGGTGATTCGGTGGCGTTGCTCCTGTCTCGTTTCAACAGCCAAACATGTTTGCATTCTGGAGTTGGTACGTATTTATGTGTGCAGCACTTAAAGTGAACGTGGGTATGAATCGATCTGAATACAAGTATATCTCAATAGACCCTGACAATGGCCCCTGCAAGATGGTGTTCCTCTACCAAGCAATCTTTTTCAGGGCCCCTCAACTACTGTTGAAGGACCCTAGGTGCTGCAATGTAGACCCTAAGTACCCACCCCAGTACATCGGGATATTTGCAGGCTGTATGTTCATCTTGGTCTTAAGTGCCAGGACCCGCACCTCACTCCGAGACCTGGCCACTCCCGAGATTGCCTGCTGTCTTTGCAGCCGCGCCCGCACAGGCGCATTTCGTGCGGGCGCCGTCCTGTGAAAACACATGGAATCACCTGGATGTGGGTAGAAGTAAAACCTGCTTGTCCACCTGCTAAAGCTTGTCCACCTGCTAAAAAGCTTGTCCACCTGCTAAGAAGCTTGTCCACCTGCTAAAGCTAGTCCACCTGCTAAAAAGCTTGTCCACCTGCTAAAGCTTGTCCACCTGCTAAAAAGCTTGTCCACCTGCTAAGAAGCTTGTCCACCTGCTAAAGCTAGTCCACCTGCTAAAAAGCTTGTCCACCTGCTAAAAAGCTTGTCCACC